TCTGTTGCTGCTGTTTCTGTTTTTAATCCGAAGGATAGTTTAGCCTCCCCCATGCTGCCCCCTCACGGGGTCCCAGTTCATGGTAGATAGAAGTGTTTTGTGTTTTCAACCGCACTAAGACTGACGTCTTTTCATTGGTCAGCCGGTTAGCGCGGTCGATGCTAATAATAAAAACACATGCATCAACCGCTCTATGCAACAAACCCCGACACGAAAGGTAAGTCTACGGAGATGTTGGTTCGGAGCGGAACACTTCGCGCGCGGTGTCTCGTCCAATCAGCGTCGCGAATCTTAATCGTGACAGAACAGCGCAGATGCAAGTGCGAACGACTCTTCAGTCTTTGCCGGTGCGGGCCGTTCGCCGTGCATGGCGTGCCCTGAGCCCGCGACGGTGGGGTCTTGCGGAGAGCGAGCGTCCCGCGGACTCCGCGAAGAGGGAGGTGAAAGGGTGCCCGGCGGCGGGCTGGCGGGGCACGTTTTTTTTTCGTCTCGAGCGTAGAGTAGGACTGATTCCCCCGCTGCGCGGTGAGGCGTCGAGCTTGAGCTTGAGTGAGTCATACCTACCTCTATAAGATTTGGTCACTTTTCATGCTTCGGCGTTCCTCTCTCTCGCGGCAGCGAGTCTTTTCTCGCGGTTCCTCCTCAGGCGCACGCAGGAGGCTCGTCGGTACACTAACGCCCATGCCCGATGCTCGGTAGGCCTCCGTGGCGCGTGAGGTTGACGGCCAAAGTTGCGAAACTGGCTCAAAACTCCGGGGACGCGTTCCGCGCTCACTAAGCCTGGCGAACTAATTCTGAAACCCATCAAACCCATCAAATACGACGCTTTGAAATACTTGCCTCTTGCTTCTCAACTTTCATTCGTTCATTCATTCATTCGATGATTCAGGGCTGTGACTCTTCGTGCCATCGCATTGTCCAACAGCAGTGCCTACGTTTACCACACTTCGCAGCGGTCCAAGTGTAGACAAGTCTGAAAGCATGCATCCAGCCGCAGTGCTGAACATGTTCCGTTTGTTCTGTTGTTTCAGCTTCAAATTTGGCTCTCATTGCAAATCTGCCATCATCAAAGAAGTCTGAGTTTTCGCTGCCGAAATGTTGTCCGCTCGATCTGGCTCTAATGTAGAATATCAACGTGCGCGATGTTTTGTGCGGACATACAAGCGTTGCAAGGCACACAGTCCCTCTTCGGGCAATACGCATGTGGTCTTGCGTCACCTGAGGGAGGGTAGACACCCACGTCCCGAAGGGAGACCTTGTAAGAACATAAAGAGGGTTGGCTGGAAAAAAAAGAATGTTCAGTGGAGCATCGCCTGCGACGGATTCGTTGTCGCAACATTTCGGAGCGAAACGGAAGTGGTCTACCTGGCGCCGCTGACGAGCTGGCGACCTTGAAAATTCCGCGCTGGAAAGGTCCGTCCAACAACAACGGAGATGACTATGTCGATACATACAGAATTCGCGAAGTATGTTGATGTGTTGACGGACACGAGACACGCCATCTACCGCTCTTTCGATTCGCTTGAACATCGCTTGGTCGGCTGTCCCACTACTGTAGATGGGCTCTTCAGATCCAATGGATATTTCACTACGTTCACAACACCGTTGTCCAACTGGATTATTAACAATCTGCACAGATAATATCCCGTTCGTGATACAATCCTCAAGAGAGAACAAAGGAATGCACTCAACGCCTGGAAAAGGGAGCGTCAGTGGTCCAAAACGCCAGGACCATGAACGTGCAGAATGGTATGAACAAGAGAGTTCAGAACAATCGAGAGTGCCTCGAGCCAACACAAGCACCTAAGAAAAGTGAGTACAACAATGTTTGGCCACTAGTCGTTGTGCATCGAACACAGCACCAACCAACAGAACTGCTGGCCAACGCGTCCTTCGACATGCGCAATTCGACGTGATAGCACCGATCAGCGTCGCTCGTCTCACCCGGAGGGTACTACTCGCGGCTTTGAACAGTCGTGTATCGTTTCGAGCTCGTAAGTCAACTTCGCTCAATGCCGGACGCCTCGCGCGACTTGCACTTGACTTTACTTCGTCAAAGTGGATAAATATCATGTGATCTGTGTCTTCGTGACCCTTGGCGCGGCGTGGCGCGGAAAGTCATCATGCGGCGAAAAACGAAGAATATGTTTTCCGCGCACCCGCCCCTGACGAATCATCTGGAGATTTCACGGTCGGAGGGTTCATCCCTCTTAGCCGTGACGACAGTGAAAGGGAATCAAGATTCACTATTACACATACGCAAGTGTTTACGAGTGTAATCGTTCATGTGGATCAATTTCGTCTTGCAGCACATTACCACAATGTACGAGCAGCACATGGCGCACGCACGTACAGAAGCTCCACACATTCATGTATCCGATGTTGCAGCATATTGTTGGAGTTGCCTCACCCAGAACTTTATCAAAATGCACCATGTCTTTTCGTTTCTTTGGCGGCGCTTCAACGCGTATCCACGGGGCTTGGAATATTTTCCCTTGCTTCCAATCGATGTCTCGGCGAAAGGCCGTCATGGACCATTGACATTCTGACGTTTCATTATTAGCAAAAAGAAAGCCAGGTTTCTCACTCCTTCCTGAAACGCCCCCCCTCGCATTTTCAGTTCCGAAACCACGACTTGTGCGCTCAGCGTTTGTCAGTAGGTGAACTCCCACGTATCCAGAGAGAACGGAACATTTCACACCAGATATTGAGTATCGTCCTGCTTGGTCGAGACGGAGAGATACCAAACAAGAGCACAAAGTGTTTATGTATGTATATGAATATGTTGTGCCGTTTTCACAAACGTTGAAAATCCACAGTATCCTGCTGGTCTCCTGCTTTTTTCTCGCGGAGACTGTCCGTGTGCCATCCTCTGCCTGACACCTACAGTTGGGATTCCTGTGTCTTTCACGAGGAACGATTGGCGTTTCGTATCGTCTGACCCAGGCGAAGTCACTCTTGATATTTAGTTGTTGGCATCCGGCGACGACCCTACCGCATGCCCTGATTTAGCTTGCTTGATCGATGCGCAAGACAGATCTTCACGGTGTGTCGACCACTCGAGCCCTCTTCATTGTTCTGTATGGTCTATGTGAAGCATATCACCCACCAGCTCCGCCCCCCCGTCTCCAATAACACGTGTCCACCGCCAGATGTAACGCGGTAGCGGTCGCATGCTATGCGGCTGCCGGCACCACCTTCGGGTTCGCCACGGGAGGAGCCGGCGTTCCAATTGCCATCGCCGGCTGCAATACTGCGTTGGGCACGTGTATGGCCGCCTGCTGGGGAGTCACGGGGGCCGCTGCCTTGGCCCCTACCCCCTAAATTGTTTCCTGAACGCGTTTCATGGAAGTTTTAAAGCACGTTAGTGGTGGAATTTGTAGACAGCCCGATTTTGTTGCTGCAAGCCTACCTCGTAGAGGCTTCAGAAGAGCGCGTGGAAAAGGAGGAGAGGCGAGCATGTCGGTAGCGTACGTGCCACTGCATCGGTCACGTTTTGTCTCATCCCTTGCTACTCCTTTCAGGTACATGGAGGTTCCCCGGCGGTATTTGTTTTTCGTTTTGACCTCCGAGCCTAGCCTAGGCAAAGTTTCGTCGTCCGGCAGTGACGTTTTCGTTTGGATGAGGGCAGCAGGCGTCCAAAGTGCCCGGGAGGGACGGAACGGGTTGTGGGATGGCGAGTGTCGGGTACTCTGTCGCTGAAGACGTTAGAAAGGCTTACCCATTCGACCACTCTGTCAACGGCTGACTGAGTACGGGTAAGCCTTTCTAACAGAAGAGGGAACCCGAAATTCTTCGAGCGAAGGAATAGTCTATTACAATGAGGGGATGCTGCCTTTGAACACTGCATTCATTGAACAATTTGGGACGTGGGCACCCGCGAACAATACTTTTCGTGTTGTCTGAAGCGGGACAACGGTTTTGCAACTCTTCCCACTCTGTCGAGGCTTTCTTTTCCCTCGTGTGGTGGCACATCGTGTTCGTGTACATCCCCAACTCCCAATCACCTGTGTTTCTTGGACGGACAAGGCAAATAGTTGGGCGTAGCAATCATGGATTGTCGGGCACGCCTCTTGAGGGTCCACTCTCATCAATGTAGACAACCACCACGTGAACCACCCATTCCTTTCAGATAGAGGCAGTGGTATTGCCTGAAAAATCGAATAGACCGATCGCGTCAAGAGTCCAATGCCAATAAAGAGAAAAACTCGACGAAACCGAAAGTTCGTTTGGAAGCGGCCGAGAAGCGATCATTCCGCCTGCAAGCGACAACCCCCCACAACAGGTGCCAAACAGTGTCGAAAAATGTCATTGCCTCGCACCGGCACCCCGCTTGGGGGGTAGGGGTAGTCTCGCTGGATACAGGAACGTTCGAGATACGGTCACGAAAGCATGTGAACAACCGGGCAGGAACTGACGGCCTCTATCGCGGAACGTACGGTGGGTCAAGAACATCTACATGATGGCCACCTCTTGAACCATGAAATAGGCAACCACAGATGATTCGTTCGTGGGACGGACAGGGGTGGAGCCCTCCTCAACCTTGCACACCCCTGGCGTTGCCTTTGCTTTTAGGCTTGAGCAGAGGCACAAATGAGGGGTACCGAGTCCTCGACACAAATTCGTCGCCGGATTGTCTAAGGTGTCTCCTTACATTTCTAACATGTAGTGATACATTCCTTCTCTCCATTACTTGAACCGCATGCATGCGCGCGCATGTCGGCTGAAGCACAGTCGCAACAACAACGCCGGACACATGAGCCACATGTATATATCGTGATAGCCTTCGGCTACAGTTTTGGTTCAGAAAGCTAAAATCTCGACGATACGTGTCGAGGCACGCTTAGCTACACCCCACGGTGGTAGGGAGCCGAAGCTCGCTCGCTCGTATATTCAGAGTACTTCCCGCAATGCAACGGGACAGTCACGCAACACATGAAAACGAGTGCGTTCATACTCGGAACGCATCTATCTCCGACACAACGAACACACCCTTCTTGAAAGCACCAGCCGAACAGTCTCGGGTAGTGCATTCCGACCACAGCTGGACACACCACGCACAAACAAAATACCAGCATCAAGCCCCACAAAACCGGGGTCTCGTAGCCGCCTGCCCTACACAAAACACAAAAGACGCAACGGAAGGAACCGTGTGAAGACTTGGCCACAGCTGCCGTCTTCAGGGAAAAGGCCAACCATAGGTAGGTGCACTAGTAGTCTGTTCATGCCGTATTCGCACGTGTGAAGAGTGCCCCTCCACGTCCTTGAGGCTCTCGTGGGCATAGGCGTTTTCCGCTAGCAAATGTCGGTTTCATGCCTTGGAAGCATGGTACGCCTTAACCTTTGGTTGGGTTAAGTGTTTGCGACGGAGGGATGAGTGGCGGGACGGGAGTTAAGAAAAATGGACATGCAAGACGGTGGGAGGTGCCGATTAAAGCTTGGGTTTGTTGCTCAAGTTTGACGTTTATCGCTGGAGGGGGGAGGACACCAACGGTTGGTAACGGTACCTTGGGGTCCTCCAAGAGGGCAGCCTGCATTTCCATGAGGATGGGAGCTGTGACCGCGATGAGGGTTGTGGGGATGCCCGTCAGAAAATTCGCTTCGGCACTCTTGATCACGGTGTGCACCTGTGCAGAAACTACATAATAGTCTAGCAGAGAGCAGCCGATGGACGTCATCAGTACACCGTGTGTGTTAGGGAGGATACTGTCGAGGAAGTCCTCCTAGGCGTGCCGGTTGCAGTCACACTTCAACTCCAAACCACAAAGACGCTTCTCGCGCCACGAGCTTGTACTGGGGATGGGGTTGGGATCAACGGGAACTCAACCACATCACCGTTCGGTGTTTGGGGGTACTCATCACTCGATACTGATCTACGGGGATTTAGGGGGCTTCGTGTATCATTGGCGGTATGTGTTGGTAGAGGGGCGATCCCCCTTCCTTCTGCTGTGCATGGGACAGCATGCCCGGCGCACTCGTCACCAAGGTCTTGAGTCAACCTTCTTCTCTGCGCTTCTGACAACACGCTGTCCGCCTCCAAACACGATCTCGCCCAACCACTGTTGTTCGCTGTGCACAAAGCTAGAAATTTGGTGGTTATTTTGAACATTGCAGCAGGTCGTGTGTCTACGAACCGAGTATTTGCAACATGCAATAATTGTGTCGATCAGCTATTCGACTACAACCACCTGCGAACTCTTGCAGGGAATACACGGAATGGGCGAGTGTATTTTTAGTGTCGTAGGGTGATAGATATACAACATATCCACGGAGCCAAATTGTCAGCACTGACTGTTTAGCTCAGTGGATATGTTGTACATGTACAAAAGAAAGTCCAGGGTTCGGCTCCCTCTGGGAGCCATCTTGACACCTTTTTTCAGGAAAAAGAAAAAAGTCTGGGATACACACCTTAAAGTCATGGCACACATCACCAGTTGTCAACGATGAAGACACATATCCCCGCCTGTAAGCCGATGAACCGCTTGGGGCAGCGCTGATTACAACAGGGATTACTAAGCCAAATTGTCAGCGCTGACTGTTTAGCTCAGTGGATAATATATATGTTGTCCATCAATCAAAAGAATAACCAGGGTTCGAGTCCCTCTGGGAGCCATTTTGACGCCATTTTTCAAGAAAAAGGAAAAAGTCTAGGATACACACACACCTGAAAGTCATGGTACACATCAACAGCCGTCAACGATGAAGACACATATCCCAGCCTATAAGCCGATGAACCGTTTGGTGGTGCAGCGCTGATTACAGGGATTGTTGCTGTTGTTGTTGTCTTCACATTAAAAACCGTTCCGATCTCTCTCTACCCAATACCTTCGTATGTCCGTACTGATGCAACACTCGACGCGGTCGATTCCCGTGGTCGCAGGCTAACTTACCCTAAAAAGGCACACTCAAATAAAATGGCCCCGACGGGTCCGCAAGTCAAAATAAATCAACGCCAGATATTTTGGAGTCCTCCACTCCCTCTGCGCGCTATGCGAGGTAGCAACTGAGACTAGGGGTCACCATCACGGGCCGGAGATAATGAGGTACACCCCCTTGATTCAATCTTGGTACTTCACAACGCAAGCAGTAACAAGGCCATCTGGCACAGAAAAAGATAGAAAAGAGAACAAGTGAAAAAGAGAAGAAAATAAATGGAAACAGTAAGGAAAGAGAAAACGAAATAAAAAGAGCGAGGACAAAAAGGGACCAGGCCGAAAATAACAAGAAATAAGAGACAGAAAAAGGCACACGGTGGAGAGACCACTAACGACAAGCAAACACGCGAACATGGCCACTAACCAGCGATACATTGTAATGGTACGCCATCACTAGTGGGGGGTTGGTGCAATGGTGCAGCGTT